CCTTTAGTTGATCACATGACCGCGTGACTTGTATGGAAATTGCAACAATGAGTTTATATGTTCCTCATATTGCCTTAACGACTTGACCAATTACTATGAAATTTAGTATGCACATACTATAAGGGAGAAAAAGGACATTTTTTTAACCCAGGCAATGAACACTTCCCAGTCTCACGGACGAAGCCATTGTTAAAATCTAGTAATAAATAAACTATCACATTTACAATAATGGCTGTATCCTGCGAGTTTGTCCGTGTAAATTATCATAAAAATAACCTTTACAATATCCAAATATCTTTACATACTTTCGCATTTCCAACATCAGCAAGATTTTCTACTTACTGTACTTAATAGAGCAGAAGCGAACGTTTATTATAACAAAAAATCCAGCCCGGACACTGCCCGGGGCTTTGTTTTAATGTTCATTCACAGAAGTCATAATCCTGTCCAAATTACTTCCCCCGCAAAGATTCCACCATCCCGAATTCACGACCGCCTTTCCATTACCTTTTATTACGCCGAAGGTACAAGAGTTTGCTTTTTTGACGTATAAATACATATAATCGTAACAAAGGGGGCATATCTCGGTGGTCGCAGTGGAGGGGATAATGTGGTGCCCCCGACATAAACTCACTCCAAGAGAATGCTTTTAACTAAACAAGGTTTATAAAAGCGGTACACCTTCTCGCGTATATACGATGCGAGTGTCCCCGGTGAACCGTTGTCTTGGATAGAGATCTACTAAAATACCATAGACAACGTACCTAGTTTTGTTCTGTAAAGCAGAATAAGTGCTGTAGAAGTAAGAGCTCTGAGAAGTATGTGTGATATTACATTAAGAGATAGAGTGAAGAATTTTGTGGTTATAGAGAAATGTGGACTGAAAGACGATGTAGTGACAAAGGGAATGTTATGGTTTTGGCCATTTAGAGAGAATGGATAAAAGAAGAATTACGAAAGAGATCTATCGAGCGCAGATGAACGGAGATGTCGATAGGAGATGGACGTAAGTCGACTAAGTAGATAACGTGCTGAAGAATAGCTAAATTAAAAGTACTCAGCGGCAAGCGTGTATAAAAAGATTGGTGAGTGCCGCACAGTACTGAGTATTCATATATATTTGATTTACAAATACAACATGGTTTTTAAAAAAAGGCCCTTTCATCATTTTGCATTTCTTATTATAAATTACTTATATAATATATAAGAATAATTTTTTGCCTACCAATCCTTACTAATATTATAAAAAAACATATTCCCTTTTAAAAGGCCTGCAGCACACCTGCAATGCCGTTGGTGTTGTGAGTGATCATGGCTGGCGGTAGTCATTTACCATCAGGTGAGCCGCATGGTCGTTTGCCCCCTGTGTTGTAAAAAAAAATCTAAGGAAAGAAATAAATTAATAATAAATAAATGAATAATATTCAAGTAAAACCACCATCAGGTGAGCCGCATGCTCGTTTGCCCCCTGTGTTTTGGATCAAAAAACGCGAAAGTGAGTTTGTTTATTGAATTATAGCATCGTAGAACTTAACCAATCACTGTACAATTTGATATACACATACTATTTGGAATGGAGAAGAGTATAGGCTACTTTTTATCCGGCGCGGACGAAGTCGCGGGCAGTAGCTAGTATATTAAATAAACGTTTATTGTTATTGTTATTATACCTACTCCCTTGGTATAACGGCACCTTCAGACGTGCACAATATACGATACATTAACATAATATTACACCAATATGTTTCTCTCAATATGGGTCTCTCACGCGAAACTATAAGTAAGAGCTCACACGATAGGCACATAACACAGCCCAATCTCGTCCCGCCAACTAATATCTGTACATATAACGTCTTTTTATCGGATAATAAACAAGAGGCCTAAAAACCCTCAACATATACCTACCGCTATTACGAGATTACAACAAAAAAGGACTGTTCCTTCTAATAGGCTTTATATTTTTACGATTCGGCCATTTTTGTTTTATTGTTACCTTCTTATATAACCGGCCACTTGGTTCGCATTATTGAATTCTACTTGGTAATATCATAAACTACGTAAGAGTGTCTCGTGACCTTGTCTGCCTGATTTGGGATAAAAAATCCTATTATAGTTACTCTTTATTGTTTCCTCCAAAAGATTACAATAGTAAACTTATTAGAGATACAAACAGTTACAAGAAATGATTATTATCTTAATATTATAACACCTGAGTCCTCACCTCTGTCTCATTCGTGTTTCAACCGTGAAGAATGTGTTTCGGTTTGAAGGGTGGGATACGTGCGGAGGAATAACACCTGAGTCTTTAGGAATGGCAACGCATGGGGGGTACCATAGGCGAAACAGTATACTCTGTTATGTCCATGGTACTGCTCATGTCTATAAGCGACGGTTACCACTTTCCATCAGGTGAGCTGTCAGCTTGTTTGCTATTCTAAATTGTATAAAAAAAAACCGTCCCTTAGTCACATCTTACGACACTCACGGGAAAGAAAGGGTTGGCCAACAAATGGTCTAATTACAAGATATGATCACATATTATCTATACTAATATTATAAATGTAGCAGGGAGTTTTTAGCTGTTTTTTTGTTCCTCTTGGCGTCTTAAGAACATAACCAATCACTATGAAATATGGTATACAGATATATGGGATGTAGAAAGGTAAGTCTGCCGTTTATCTCTTTAAATAAAGATCTGGTCAGACAGACACAGTCGCGAGAAAAAACTAATAATGTTACAAATACGAAAGTTCTTAAGGATATATGGAAACATGGATATTTATTACTCTTTCACGCATAAACTGCTAAATGGATTTGAATTGAGGTCAACCTGGTTGGGTATATTGCTAGCAATGGGGCCCTTATTCTCCATGTAGGACATGTATGATATACCCGTGCTAGGTGCACGGGTATGTCATATCCTAACTTAACACATATTGTGATTGCTAATAATGGA